TCTATCTAAAATTCCACATTTTTCCATATTTTGAAGAAATCTGTTGCATGAAGCACACGTATATTATAAGATTTTTAACTCCAAACTGTGCACGGTCACATTGTAGCATGGTTGGAGACATCGATCAACATTCCGCCGTGGCCTACAAAAACACACATGCACGGCGATGTAGTTTGTTCCTGACTTGTTATGTACAATATTCCTACTCATACAACTACTGTGATCAGGAATCACTGACGGACATAATAGACTTGAATTCAAAGCTGTGTGATAAATGTGCTTAGCACATTAAATGCCCACAAAAGGTGTGCACGGTGCGCGCGGTGTAGTGTAGCAAGCACAAATTGACTCACACATCGCCACATGCCGTACACTGCTTGGTACGCATGGTGCTGCTGGATCTCCGGTTGTTTCGATAATCATGCAGACGAAGGCCTTGTTTTGAAGGCTACTGCAAGGAAAGAGCTGTACACATGCATGCCGTGGGTGACTGTCATTGAACTGGAATTCGTGGAGGTGGAAATCAATGCATTCTCATTTGTGTTTTCTTTTCCGGCCTTTTGAGCCAGAAGGGGGGAAAAAAGGAAAACATAATTTTGGGGGTCTGTTTGGAAAGAAAAACAGAATTCCGGATAAAACTGGAAAAGCGGCATCTCTGTCATTATGATAAAAATACTTTGCTTCTAACTTTTGCAATTTTTTAGACACAAATGTGGAACTACTATGGATCCAATTTGTATTTGAGGTCAAAAACCTCTTTTGATTGGAAACTTCTATCGTTCCTCAAAGTTGGATATTTCTAATCTGCACCACTTAAATGACTCTCTGGATGTAAGAAAGAAGTTTAAATCTGCCATCATCATCTTGAGAGGTGACTTCAACCTTTCTGATATTGAGTGGTCTTTGTCTGCTGTCAAAGCAGGCCAAAATGAAGCTACTAAATGTTCCTTTCTGCTTAACATCTGTAGTGACCATGACCTAGAGCAACAAGTGCGGAGCCTGACTACGGTATGTGGCCTCACAAAAAACACCTAGATCTTGCCTTCACTTCCCATCCCAGTTTGGTTTCCTACTGTCATACCTGGTATTAGTGATCATGAGGCTGTATCAGTGTAACTGAACTTAAAAGCCAAAATCAACAGAGAGAAGCTAGTAAAATGTTTCTTTTCAGTAAAAGAAATCATCAAAAAATTCCATCATTACATGACTACTTTCAGTCAAGACTTTCTCAACAGTGACTCGTCTGCCAGGTTGATCAAAGAAAACCTAGATCTGTTAAAATCAAAGGCCACTGATCCAGATAACCTACCTGCTGGAATTCTCATGCATTATGTGTGCACGTTAGCACCTCTTCTTACAAAAATGTACCAATGGTCACAAGACACAGAACTTCACAATTGGCTCATTGGTAATGAGGCACCTATCTATAAAAAAGGAATTGATCGAAACCATCAAATTACTCGCAAGAGTCTATCATATCTATACGTTCCAAAATCCTGAACACAGTGTCTTCAGTCTAGCACTATCAGAAACTGGTAAAGTATATATAGAATAACCAATAGGGCCAAAAACTGATCCTTGAGGTAAGCCATTTAAAATGCCTGTTTATTTCTATGTGAGTATTCAAAGTTTTTAAGTGTGACTCATACTAGTCGAGGGCAACATCATGAATACCCATCCTTAATACAAGCCTTGATATCAGAATTTCACAATCAATTGTATCAAATGCTGAAGATAGGTCCCATGACAAAAACGCCACCACTCGTCCCCAATCTATCATTCTTTATCTTTATCAAGGCACTTTCTGAACTGTGGAGGGGTCTCTACACAGATTATTTTTAACCATGTGGTAAGTAAGCCTTTTGCAAGCAATTTTCTCAATTAGCTTTCCCACAAAGCTCAATTTTGAAATGGGTCTGTAATTAGACAAACTGTTCCTGATTGTTACATGAATAATAAAACCTAAAATTATATGAATAAGGCCTTGTTAATAATAACAATTATTAAAAAGGTACGTCTTGATTGCACGCTTGAACTGGTTTTCATTTGTAATATCTTTCAACTGGTTTGGCAAAGAAGTGCACAGCGTCGGTCCAGCAATAGCAAATGCCCTGTTGTTAACTTTATTATACGATCGAGGAACCTAAAGACTCAAGGTATCCTGACTATGCATGTTGTAAACACAATGGGATCTAACAATCAAATCAGTCAAGTAGCTTGGTGCTTTGTTCCGCAACACCTTGAAAACCAAGAGCAAGATCTTAAATTCCACACAGGCACGAACTGGAAACTGCAAATCTTTTAATGACTGCGTAATCCTTACGCAATTGCAGAACTAACTGAGCTGCATTATTCTGTAAACGCTGTAATTTAACGAATGAAGATCCAGATATACCATACATTACAGAGTTGACATAATCCAGATGATATGTAATTAATGAGTGAACCAAACACTCAGTGGCTTCTTGATTCAGATATTTTCAAATACGATGTAAATTATATATGCTGTAATTCACCTTCTTGCAAATATAATTGATGTGAGAGTCCATTGACAATCTCAAATCCAGCCAGACTCCCAGACTACAGACACTGTCATCAATTTTTATATGGTCGTCACCAATTTTAACATGGTCAATGTGAATTTTATCCAGTTGTTGTTGATAACCAAACAAAATTACCTCTATTTTTCCAGCGATGAGTTTAAACTTGTGTTTCAACATCCATGCTTGAACCAAAACAACACATTTTTCAATATTTTGCAAATGAATGAGTTTGGGAGAAAAGAATTGCAACAACTGGGTATCAACTGCATAACCATAACCACTTATGTAATTGTCAGAGTTTGAGAAGAGAACTTGAATATGCTATGAAAAGCATGGGGCCCGAACATGAACCTTGAGGAACCCCAAATTCAACACCAATGTTTCGACAGAGCACCTGAAATGGAAACCCTTGGGTAAAGATTGCTGAGGTATGATGACAGCCAAGCAAGTGTAGTGCTACAAAAACCAAAACTATTCTCCACAATAAAAAACAACTTGTGGTCAACCGTATCAAATGCGGCACTAAGGTCAAGTAAAACCATCATGGGTACCTGTTTATACCCATATTTAAACACATCTGAAGTAATTCTACAAAGCATGGTTTCTGTGCTGTGCAACTGCTAAAGCTGATTGATTCACCGGGAAGAGATTGCTCTTGTGCATATGAACAGTGACTTGATCTACAGCTACACGTTCCACCAATTTGAAAAAAAGCACAAATTACTGATTGGTCTGTTGACACAGGCTCCACATTTCTTTAAAAAATAATCACTGCATTTTTCCTTCAGTTGCAAATACACCATTTCTGAAGGAACAATTAACCATAGATGTAATGATAGGAAGTAAAATATCTGTACATTCCTTTAACAACCACATTGGAATGGGCTCACTAATACAATGTTTAGAAGGAGCTTTCAGAATAAAACGCTTCATCAAATTCACATAAACAGGTGCCAAATGACCAGCCCCATTCATTTTGAATAAAACATCATCAACAGGAGCCTGACTCTCTAAATCATCACTAACTTTAATAATTTTATCAGTGAAATGATGATTAAAGTCATTTGACAGGTCACTTTCCGAGGAACAAGTAGGAAATTCATCACTTCTACTTGGCTTCAGCAGAGAATTAACAATGCCATATAATTTCTTTTGATCATCATAGCAATCGTTAATCTTACTAGAGTAATAATCCTTACAGGCCTGAAAAAGCATATTTGTAGTCTTATTTCTGAAATACTGGAACACATCTCTGCTAGACGTTGTACAGTGTCTTCACCAGAGCCTTTCAGCACGCCTCCTTAATTGCCTGAATCACTTTGCACTTGAAGAAAATAGTGATGATCTGTCTCAAATTGGAGTTTCTCCTTCTCTCGGCTTGACCTTTTTTGTGACATACAGTGAGGATGTCATGATTGTACCAGGGAATTCTTTGATGAACTTGACGTTCCTTCACATTTTCTGGGGCGAGCTTAGCAAGAAGTGCCTTTAAGGTATAATTGTACCACTGGAACGCAGACTCCTTGTTGCCATGATGATTAAATTTGTCAAAAGAGTCCTGCAGAACCCTCACAAATAGGTCTTTATCAACTGACTTGAAATTACGAGATGCTTGCACACTCTTTCCTGGCTTCAGAACTGCTACATTTGTACATGTATGCAGGCGCACATCAATAATATAATGGTCCAACATATTGGTATTGTAAACAGTGCACTCTTTGATGCAAGTACTAGACCACCATAAGAAGACAAGATCCACTGTATGGCTGTATGTGTAGGGACTGCAACATGTTGCTGCAAACCAGCAGCTCTTGTGGCTCCAAGAAAAGCATCGACATCTACCTTTGACGGGGTGTCAACATGGAAATTGAAGTCTCTGACCACAAGTAACCACAACAAAGAATCACTTTCAAAGTGTTACTGTTTGTGTTCAAGTTTTTTCATGATCAAGTCCCGGGTTATTTTTACGATTGTTTACATGTTTATACTTATCGGAGACCCAATCTTCATTCTGGTAATGATACATTATGCCTTTCAGTACCATTAAGTAAAAGCAAGGCTGGTGATCGTTCCTTCAGTGTCGCAGCAGCCAAGGAAAGGAACAAACTCCCTCTTCATATCAATGTAGTAGTACAATGGAACAATTTAAACAGTTGGTAAAAACTTATTTTGATTTGTTAAAAAATTTTCATACTTGCATCCTCTTTTTTTTTCCTATTAAATTACTGTAAGCGCTATGATGTAATGTACTATGAATAGTGTCTTCAATAATAATAACAATAATAATATACCACTGGTTCTATCTGCCAACTTGGACTCTACATCAACCTTATGAAACAGAAAGTGATATGCAGTGCGACTGTATTTACTAATTTTCTAAGAAAAATGCAGCAAAAACATCTCAGCTGCTGGGTTCAAGTGCAATACATTTTATGGAACCATGGAAAGGCAACTCACCATGTGTTCCATGTGTTTGACCCGTTGGGCTTCTCTGCGTTCAATCTCTGCAGGATCCAGGAGCAGATTATGAGCTCTAATGTGACTCCTTCATAAAAAAAGAATTGAAAAATGTGATAACAGTTACGATCTAGAAAGATTATAGCACCAATGTGCATGTTAAAAAAGAAAAGAACTGCATACTTCTGTCAACTAATAAAATATGTGAAGACAAATGCCACATTATTTACCAAATTTTAATTTCAAATAACAATGTCACTAGAATATTCTCTAGTGTTGTTCAATTTCTATTGCATTGTTCAGAGCAGCAAGGAAAAGCTACATCACTATTTTTGTGAACACACACTACCAAGTTGGGATGTGCCTTGGCAGGGCACTGTTTTCAAAAACAAAAAAAAACCCAATGAAACTTGGCAATCAGAGGGCCTAGCTGTGCATTAAGCTATGATACAGTCAATTCTCGGTAATAAGAGCTCAGATGAAACGAGAGTCTGGTTAAGACGACCATATTTTGCCAATCCCAACCAAAGTTTGTACATTCCTATGAGAAAAAGTCTGAAATACAAGCTTGGGTGATTCCAGATTTTGGTTAAGGTGAGTGTTTCTTTGCAGTTTGGTCAAGTTCAGATGTATTCTTATCTCTGTATTTAGCATGAGCACATCGAAAACAACTTGTCAATCAAGGAACCAATTCAATGAAGGTGCTGGTGTACTAGGTGCTGTGATAATGCTGTGGGAAGGGTCCACTGCACTCAACCTACCCAAACAGTCACTATTTATGCAGAGTAGTACCGTATCCTGTATTGAAGGAGGTTGGCCAGGACGCACTGAAGTGTGTGAGACCGTGAAAGGAGGACACCAATATATATGGTGTAGAACTGGAGGTAGTTCATGGAGTATGAGTCCTCATGGTCTCGGTGAAGAGGCTATCATAGACATGCTTTGGTAGAACTCATTGCGAACCCATATTAAAGGTAACACGAGGTAGATGATTGTAAAGTTGTCTAGCATATTACCATGCAGATAACTTCCCGATAGACACTGCCGAAGGATGTTGTCAGAGTACATGTATATCATCCTAGCATCATGAATCACGATAGGGTGGCTAGGTTTGACTATTGTAGATGAAGTCCTCACTTTAAGGGTAATGATAGGTGAAGTCCTCACTTTAAGGGTAATGATAGGTGAAGTCCTCACTTTAAGGGTAATGATAGAGGAAGAGGCACATTACCTCTCAGCTTTGATTCCTTGCCCTGTATCATTATGAAGGTTAGGGCAGGCATGGCAGGATGGCAATACTTGTCATTAGAGGAACAGACGCACTCTATGACATTAAAGATCAACATTAAAGAATGAACACGCCGGGAAGAGGATACCCGGAGTTAGTGTTGTCTAAGAAAGGGAAGTCGATGGGGGACGCATATTAGGTAGCTGTGACAGCAGATGGTAGCTACATGTGATTGATGACTGCAGTTCCGAGTCACGTAGAAGAAAGAGTCGGTTACTGCATTTAGTGGTGTTTGAATTGGAGATCTGTTTACTCCTAGTGTAGATGTATACTAGAAATCTGGGTAAATGAGGCATGAATGGAAGATGTCTTTCCTGGATTGCTGGAAGTAGTGGTAACAGAGAGGGACGCGTAGACCAGCAACCCTACTCTGCTGAAAAAAGGGGGTTATCTGTGATCAAGACCTATAGGTGAGCGAGTCTGGTGCAGAACAACAGCAACTAGATGTTCCATGTTAAGGCAGGGAGAATAATATGCAGAAGCCAAGTACCTCAAAGGACTTGCTCGTTCACGATGCTATGTAGAGTCTGTTCTATTGCGTGAATCCCTCTCCGAGAGTAGACACGTGTAAGGGAGTTGTTGGCTTCGAGATGTTGGTTACCTTCAGGAAGTCCGAGGCTCAATGGAACATCTGCCTTGTCAGGAGGCAAAGGCGTAGTAAGAGTGTACCTTCGTGGTGACTTATCTGGTGAAGTGACAATGTGTTAACCAACATACTCCTGTCCTTAAGATCTAAAAGTTCGGGAACAGGAGTATTCCATGAAATTCAGAAAATGCCAGTAGCAACCAGTAGTTGAAGGTTCATCATCAGTTTCAACTGCCAACAGCAGAGTGACTGGATAGAGTCAGTCCATCATGTACTGAAGGAAGACAGCTGAGTCAGGAAAACATTTTTAGGTAAGGCCTCATATAAGGATGGCAAGAGGTACCAAGTTTACAGGGTTTGCCCTCGGGCTGAAGATATGCTGGTGTGATAAAAGTCCGGGTGAAAGATGAGAGCCGAACTTAGATCAGAAAATGTTTAAGGACAGGGATCTCAAGATTAAGAATCCAGGATGGCTGGTAAGCTTACATGTGATGTTAAGGAAATTTCCAGCCTCATTTATGCATCCACCTACTAAGAACCAGTCACTAAGGTGTTCGATTTTGGGAATGGCTAGCTGGTGGGAGTAGGCAGTAAAAGATTACTTGAGTAAGGACCCCTTACAACACTGACAGAGTGGCAGGATTGAAACTTAAGAGTTCCTCTGACGTTGATGAAGTAGACGAACTTGAATTTCTGTGGGTGGACTAGAATGGGAAGTAGAACAATTTAGAATCACCAACGAAGCCTGGGTTGAATCTGACAAGGGTTGAGCTACTGTAGGAGGAGACTGGAGTACAATTATGATTTTGTCTGAACAAAAGGACAAATATGAATCAGAGAGGGTAGCCGAATCAGCAAACACAGGTATTCATCTGTCTGGGCATATTTCTGATAGAACCTTACTAGTGTAGATAGGACCTACAAATTCAGGCATTGAGGCCACCTAAGGAGTGGTGTAACCATTAGCATCAGACTCAAAGGAATGGAGGTAAAGTCGACATTCCATTTTGGTCTCAGACTCAAAGGAATGGAGGTAAAGTTGACATTCCATTTTGGTCTCAGACTCAAAGGAATGGAGGTAAAGTCGGCATTCCATTTTGGTCTGTATCTCCCAGCACTGCCAGTGAGGATTGAGGAGGGGACAGAGCAGGATTATCCGGTGTGTGAAGTCGGCAAGGGAAAGAAGATGAAAATTGTTGCAGTGTTTGTCCTCCAAATCCTTTGTGACCACTGGTTAGTTTGCAACGGGTTTCTCCTGTATAGAGATGGCTGGAATTAAATCAACGCCATCCCATGGGAAGTTCACCACATCCATTCCTGAACAATACTTTTATGGGTCATTGTAAGTAAAGAAGAAAACCTCATGAATTATTTAGAAATTGAGGTGACTTTTTTGGGGTTGGTTGTCCAGAAAGAAAGTACGACTGCAGTGTGGACTGGATAACTGGGAAAAAAATTTCAAATGTAAACCGATAGATGAAATAGATCAGAGACTGTGAAGAAAAACTCTATGTGGCCCAGATGAAGATGGTTTGACTTCATCTTTTTCTAGCCAGGAGTTATTGCCGGAGGATTAGTTAAATTGGATGTTAGATGCACTTGGCAACAGCCCACAACTCCAGTACATGCGAATGATGTTGAAGCCTCTGAAGAATCAAAAATGAACCTTGCTTATGTTTGTAGTTGCCATTGACATCACTGTGCAGGAGGACTTTGGCCATTTTACCATATGCACAGGGAATTAAGGTCAGACTGCATTCATCCGAAGGGATGAAAATTGAGAGTAAAAAATGGAGCATTCATGTGAATTTAAGACTCATAATAATACTACTGCCTGACGGGAGCAAAGTGATAATATTTCAGGAAAGAACTACAGTGGACTTAAAAACCTCCTTACTCCAATTCAATCTCGGCTTAACACACGCAAGTATTAAATTGAAATTGGACAGAGCCTTACCAAGTACACCAACACTTACTTTACATACCTAAAGTGGACATTCCTTTCTTTTCGTGCAGTTACGAAAACTCAGCGAAAATAGTCATTTTTCTTGGAACTTGGAACACGATTTAGAGCTGGCCTTTTGTACAAGTTTTCCTTGACTGCTCTTCTTCCTTTTAGGACAGATGACCCCTACCCCAATATGCCTCTAAACTTCTTTTTCAGAGAGGGGGAAAATGTCCTGTGGACATGTGTAAGTTCACAGAACGTCTTCCTTTCCTGCATCGTGTGGACATCTTTTGTTCACAAGTCCCCTCTAGGTATGTAAGGTTTGCGCGCCTCTTTGTTTCAGTCATGCAGTGCATAATCAGAAGGGTAACCTGAGGCGCGCACGCTCATGAAAAAATGTGGGCACACAGTAGGTCCACTTTTGTCGGACCTCGCAACAGTCACAGTATGTCAAATTTGGACACACCCACATTGGAAGAACTCAACGACCTCGTAACAGTCACAGTATACAAATTTGGACACGTCCGCATCGGAGGAACTAAAGTCTGAACAGTGAGCAGGATATGGTGTGGCCATACAGAAGAATCTATGGGGATCGCTCATGATAGGCCATAGTGGTAATACATGTAGATGCACTAACACATTACCACAGAGCCCCTTGGAAAAGTGCCGGATTATGGGATAACAAAGAGAGTGAGGAATTCACTGGGATAGCCCAGAGAATGATGGGAACTTGACCCGAGTAGTGTACTTCTCTGTTTCACGGCCAGGCGCCCCAAGCACAGAGGTCTCAGGTGCCAGTTGGGGCTGATGCTCAGCGTAATGATAGGAGTTGTTTGAGCTGCAACTTGCACTCTGTTTAACCTGGTCTTGTATTCACTGGAGGCCACTCCAGAAGACAACTTAGGGCGGTCCGGTAGAGTGTAGTGTTAACTGCACGCCTAGATGTACCAAAGAACAGTTGGTTCGAGGCACAGGCATAGAGATGGAAGGGAGACGACGGAGTTCGCTTGCGACAGAAACCACATGGTGCAGGTTTACATCGCTTCCACAATGACTAGTGTTGAGTCCACTTGCCCTTGTTTATTAATTTTCCTCTTTATTCTTCTCAATTATAATACATGTTTTATTATAACAATTCTGTATTCAACTCACTTGTAAACTCCACTTTCCTAAAGAACATGCTCAAACTCTTTTGAAAGCAAATTCATCACCTTAAACAGTAGTACAATCAACACATAAGAGTAGGAAAACACTTTTCGCTTGAGATGAGGTTTCAAATAACACAAGGCCCTCATCTTAACGAGAATTGAGTGTACTTCAAAAAAACCCAAACAAGCCAGAATCAGACTGAGTTCCAAATGGAACTTGCTTACCTATTTTCTGACATTTTCATCACCGATCCCCTGTCATCCCTGACCCATGATCCCTGTGGGGGAGCACTGTGAGGTTGCTCAATCTCTTCCTCATTGTCAACCTTTCTGTCAGTCTGTCTGATCATGGCTGAATCATCTTGGACTTTCAGTTGACCATTGCTGATCTGCCCAGTCTTGGGAACATCTACTGGCTCTGCCCATTGGTGAGCCAAGTTGGATTCAAATTCTTGTTGGCGTTTTTTTTCCTGTTCTTTACGCTCATGTGCCTCAATACGTTGTTGCTCTGAGGATAATAAAGTCTTCCATTATGATTTATATCCAGAGAAATAGACTTTGATAATTTCAAACAAAATAACAATACCAATGAAAATATTAAGGAAAAAGGGAATTAATACAGTCATTCAAATTATGCAAATATTTTATTCGAAAGTTTAAAATTACACACTGCAGTTTTCACACGTACATTATCACATTTCTAATTGGGAATATTGCATTGGCTGCATGCAAAAAGTCAAGAAACATATTAGCCACAGACAAAAAGGGAACAAACTCCTCAAAGAGACATGTTTTACCTAATTCTTTTAACCATTCCTGCTGCTGTCTTCTTTTCACCTGTGTATTATGGTCATCTAACCTTGATCCTGCTGATCCCTGAAACAATAAATAAGTTTGAAAAAGCTTTGCCAATATACATGTACAAACTGTTGACAAGTTAAGCTCTGCAGTGAATCAGCAGAATCAATGTAAGGTTATCGGAAGAATGAAATATCTGTAGAATACGTGTGTACAGATTTGACATTTACACTAACAAATATTTGAAGACTTTTAACAATTTGTTTTCAAATCATTGAAACTAAACAATTTTTAAAGTTGGCCCTTGCTCATGGATATGAAACCTATTTAATTCACAAAAACCTTTTCAGCAAATTCATACATTTTTCAAGGAAAGGTACACAACTCCTATTTATGAAGTAAACTGCATACACTTGTTAGCATCTGATGTGATAGAAAAAGAAAGAAAAACTAGACAAATGTTGTGTTTGTCGGTAGACAAACACTGAGCTGTTTATTAAGAAACTCTTTTGGTTTGATAAAAAAGGAAGTTGGAACAGGTGGGAATCAAACAGCTGTCGTTAAGTCAGCAGTTCAAAAGTTCTGTAGGACCAATACCCTCCTTGCTACAGTAGAGCATAAGAATACTCACACACTTTCCCTGCCATGTGTTTGGAATTTGCCAGATTCCCCCAAAATAGTAGGCCTCCATTACATGCTTTACATGTAGGGTGCATTCCACCAAATGGTTATATTTCTGCGTGCGAGCACATTAATATTTAGTGATCCCATGGGATTTTTACAATAAGACAGGCCATAATCAGGAGGGATCATAGAAATATTTCTATCAATCCCGAATTTGGGATTGATAGTTTCCAGTTCGGGATTTTTTTTACAAAAGTTCCAAATTGCGGGCCTATTTTGAATAGAGGCGGGCGGTTACATTCAGAAATGAGCGCTTAGTTTTACTGCTATTTTGGGGGTATCTTCTGGGAAAGGCAAATAAAATATTTTTTCATGGCTAACCCCAGTAAAACTGAAACGAAAAGTGATCTTCTGGCCTTAATCTTGAATTTCCAGTGAAAAAACAGAGGCCAACCTCTTCACGAGAGTCAACAAGCAGTGCTGTTTCGGTCCGATTTTGTACTGTTTTCTATGGGCACATATTTGGTGTAGTGCAACCTTACATGTACAAAGCAAATGGCTCTTACTGTTACGGCTCTTACCCTATGGGTGGAGTTGCCGGCATTTTCAGCAGATGGCAATTTTTTATCAGCTGTGCACAGTGTGTATGAACAATGCAATGAGCCAAACACATTAGACAATGGATGCAGATATCAACTCTAGCTGTCAATGGGCAATTGTGGACTTTAGCAATTGGGATAGATTTTCTAGCGATTTTTAATGATTTAAAGGTTTTTTGTTATAACTTCAGGCCTCATAACGTCATCAGCCCCAAATTGCACACATGTTAACTGGGTAAAGAATTTTAGGGATCAACCGATGATGGGATCGGACATCAAATCCGGCCGATGTTTGGCAACATCAGCAAAAAATTGGATCGGCAAAATTTTATCTTCCTTGCCGATATGAGTGAAGAAAGGAGCAAACTCTGATTCAGTTTTGGTGAACCAAAATCTCCTATTTTTTATTTGAGTACAAACTGTGTTTTCTTCATTTGGTGTGATAAATGAACGATTACACCTACGTAAAGTATCCCTGAAAATTACACCTGCGCGATCCATGCCGCAACACATGGACCACAGCCAGCCCCATATGGAGCAGTCTCGTACGTGTGTACCGCTTCCACTGACAGCCATTAAAACAGCCTGGGAACAACACCCACGTGTGGCACCACGCCCGCACAAGGTCTGAAGGTAGCCAGCGATTTGGCCTTTATTCAAGACACGCATGGTTACCTGAATACACAACGTGCACCTCTGCTGTTGGCATGCACCATGAAGTCACCAACGCAAGGGTGAAGCGGTGCCATGCACGCCTTGACTAAAGGCTACCATGATTCAGCTTGAAGTGCTGTGTCTATTCTACATGTACACATACATGTACCAGTAAGCACCACATGGGTTTGAGTGATCAGTTACATCAGTATCGTGCACGGCAGAGATCGATGCACAGAGTTTACAGGATTTATTCTCTCAACAGTGACTGTGAAGGCAAAAACTAATCCTATTACCGGTAATGTGTAAGCTGACATTTTAAGGGAGTACACTGGTTTTATGTTGTTAGTAGGCCTACACCTGTTACGGTTACATTTCAGTTATTGTCGGTAAAAACATCGGATCGGATCGGACATTGGCTGATGTTCCGATTAAAACATCAGACATCGGATCGGAAGTTTAAACCTACATCGGTTGGCAATTTTCAGGTGATTCGGATAAACTTTGCCACAGACATCTATTCAAAATTCATTTTTCACAATTTTTAACTTATCACTAGAGGGTGCTCAACAATTGCGTGACGTCATCAGTAAATGATTTGAAGAATACTTTACCCCCACCGATTAATACCGTTGAAAACAAGTGGATACCTATTACCACTTTTAAATAACAAGCCCACTTCTGGTTTTGACCAGAAGGAAGGGTCACGTGATTTGACCCAGACAAGATGAATTGAAGACCAAATTTTACTCTGCCACTTGCTGCAAACAGAATGTTGCGGGAGGCCACAGTTGATTTTATACGTTTTTAGAAATTTACAATAATATTTAAATATTCAAAATTTAATAACGAATCACTTGATATTAATCATTATAGTATAATCTTTGCTTCAAGGTCTTAGCTTCATGTAACTTTGATGAAATTTGAAGATTGCTGACCAAATTGTTGCCTTGAAAACGTGAACAAAACATATGAAGGAAAATTAAACACTCAAAATTCTATAATAAATCAGGTGATGATGTCACAATGACATCATAACCCGGCATACATCTCCAGGTGGTACTCTGACAATGTGCCAGGTTTGAAGGATATAGGAACAAAGCAAGGACTGAAAGTCATGTGTAGAGCGACCCCGTGTTATGTCAATAGACAAAAATTGGAAAAGAAGAAAGCTGAAAAACACGGAAAAACTGGTTATTGTTAAAAATTGGATTTTTTCTTAATCATGATGTAGTATTCCGTAGGATTTTTTTTCCAAATCAAGTTTAATGACCTAAAGCAAGTCTCTCTTAATCCTAATAACACCAACTTGGGTACTTTGGAGATGTTCTTTGTGCCAACAAATCCGGTCTTCTGATAAGGGTCATGTTTTGACCCAGTAACAATCATCCTAACCCCTATCCTCTCACCAGGTGCAATGATGTGTATAAATGGGTATTGTGCATTCATGCATTTTTTTCTTATTTATCCATTATTTTCTCAAAAAAATCACTGCAGGTCCCCTGTGACATTGCTTATTGTTAGAACTGTGGCAAAAGAAAGGCGAGGTTTTTTCTGTTTAGGTCTGTGGAAAAGTGTCTTATACTTAACAATCGTCAACCAGGTAACAAAAACAATAGCGGCATCGGCAGAAGCGCCGAACCAGCTAAAAAAGGAAAAGATAAAACTCGTAAGAAAAATAAAAGCTGTTTCAGTCACCGGCCGAAACAGCTAAAAAGGCTCCCTAAAAAGGTTTTGTTTGCAAAGCATGTGACTGAAGAGTTGGCTGAACATTTACCCCAGTTTCAGGTTGCACCAAAATACCTTTTTTAGATTTACATTAAATACATCAGAAGTTTGACATATGACACACGAGCAATTTCAGAACTAAAACATTGACAAAATGACTACTACAGTTGTTCAGAAAAAACTCTGGAACATTATTCAAATGTTGCCTGCTGTGTAGGGGTCCATGGTGTTTTGGAGAAGCTGAGAGGAGAAAATCTCACAAGGCAAAGCCAGGGGTGCCATTTGCCCCGAGGTTGTACAAAACCCATAAGACCAATCACAACAGCCAACAATTCTTTTGTTATACAACGGTAATAGCATTACCAATGCAAGGGAACAACATAACATTTTACTGCCTCAAAATGCATTTCCATTCACTAAAATTGTCTTCAACAATAGCGTTTTTAGTTAATTCAACTAAATTGATTAATTGGAAGGGAGTGTTTGGTCCTTTTTCTTTCCCAAGAAAGTTTCTAGATAACTACCTAATTCTGTCATGGGTAACATCTGAAACTGTAGGCTCTCCCCATGGCGGTGCAGGATTTGCGACCGCCATATTCACATATGCACAGAATGCCTCATATTTTTCTTCATGCAGATGCTACCCTCTCCTAAAATTACATTTATGAACTCGTTTTTGCATCAATAAGAAAGCCTTTTTGAAAACCAGCTTGCTGTCATCTGTCGACATCATTACGGTGCCAGATAAGATAAGAACATGAATGAACAATGTAAACAAAATGGCGTTCATAACAGAAATAGTGCTCCACTTTCCCCTACCGTACATCTGATAGGAACATACACTATCTAGTACCAGCGAAGCTACAATCTTGTACTCAACCTCGCAGTAAAACATATAACACATGGAAATGACGCTCCCAACAGCACACGGGAAAGATCAAGGTAATGGAACCTGTGGGGATATAATTCACGAACCATGGCAAACATTGCTCATGAACTCCTAACCAGTTTACATGCATGCTTGTGGCAAATCACATGATTGATACTCGACCAATAAACATTCACAATCTATTATTGTAGTATAACAACTTCATGTAAGACATTCTGTCCAAAGTCAGACTCTATGTAAATTTCTGCAATTGTACAGTAATATGGAAGTTAAACCTTGAGATGTCCTACAATTCACAGGCAATCGCTGTTGAGATGGAAGCCAACTCTGAACATAGGTTAAATGAATACAGGATGTGAATAAGGAAGTAAACACTTTTTAATGATTTTTTGCTCATTATGTTATGAGAGAGGTAGTATGACATACATGATCCTAGCCGATGGGCAGGCCGCGACCTTTGCACTAGACCAGTGTTGATATTCTAATGAAAACTGCTGCGGGCTTGTAAACTGTATTTGTTAACTTGCACAAAGGGCTAGTAAAGTAACACCTACCTTTAGAAACTATCACTTTTCTCATTGATA